AGTTTCTCGCAAGTTGGACATCTTTTGTTCGAGTTTCAGCTGTTTTTGAAATCTTTTTTGAATTGGTGCTTACGTTAATTAGGGTGTGTTTGAATGTAATTTTGGGTTTTTTTTCGAAATTTATTTTGTGTTTTTCCTTTTAACTTTAAGTCGTTAAAATGCTGCAAAAGTAAGCTCTGTAGTTGTTTGAAGTNGCAACTGGATCTGTGAGCACCTAAGTTTCTCGCAAGTTGGACATCTTTTGTTCGAGTTTCAGCTGTTTTTGAAATCTTTTTTGAATTGGTGCTTACGTTAATTAGGGTGTGTTTGAATGTAATTTTGGGTTTTTTTTCGAAATTTATTTTGTGTTTTTCCTTTTAACTTTAAGTCGTTAAAATGCTGCAAAAGTAAGCTCTGTAGTTGTTTGAAGTTTTTTTTTTTGTTAGATTATGCTGCAAAATTATTCACGCAGTGGCACTTTTTTGAGCAAGCAAATGGATCCAAAAGCTTTAATCTTCCTTAGACCAGTATGCGAGGTTTTCAAAACAAAGCAGCTGGCATATATGTATTTAATTATGTTGCCACTTTAAGTTCGCTTCAAATTTCGTTTCCGGAAAATTTTCCAAGACTTTGGCGGCTGAACTATAATTGCATACATATATAGATGAGGTCTCTGAGAATGATTGGATGTGATGGCATCTACTTTACATACGGTGACCATAAATATATTTTGAAAATGCAGGACAATTTTTCAAAAAATTTACCTACATATAATTGCGTAGTATAAAAATAACAAAAATATACTACATATATACATTCCTCGTCATTTGAATAGCGCACCCTTTTTTTGATTTTCTACCATACAAAGTATGCTTGACAAAATTTTTATATGGAAGAAAATGCGCAGCACCGTCAACAAAAAAAAATTCGCCCCTATGTTTATTTTTTTTTTTTAATTTTCAAAAAATTTTAAAATGGGATGTAGACGTAGAATAGGCTATATTTTTATAAAAAGTTAATGAATATTAAACAAACAAAAGGAAAACTGTACCTACTAAGTATTAAAAGGATGCGCTATTCAAATAACGAAGAGTGTATATTTCTTAATTATTAATCCAATTTTAAACTTTAAACATAAATCACATTTGCTTCATTGGTTTAATCCTTTAGTAATGAATATTTACCAAATTATAATAAGGCATATTACATATCACTTTACATGAAATATGACAATTTTTTAGACAAACTTTGGGTCGTTGAACACGAAAAAAATACCCATGGTTTCAAAGAAGTGTTTTCGATATTTGTTCGAAAAACGTATTTTTAGTACTTTTTCAGTTATTCCTCAATATCTCATGAAACGACCAACAGTTCGAAAGGTATTGATGGGCTCTTTGCAAAAATATATATTTTTTGTGCAGATTGTGTTCCGTAACATCTACATTTCTCATCAGATTTTCATTTACTGTAAAAAGAAAATGATTGAAATTTCAATTTTTCGATTTTGGTCGCTTGTAACACTAATAATTTTTTTCTTAAGCGATTACCACAACATTTGTAGAACAGTGTTGTGGATATATTTGAAGCTGGTCTTCAAATTCTCGTCATCCATTGTCCATAACCGTACAATATTTAGAACGCATTGACTAGTTTAACCTTCAAAACTAGCTTACCCTTATGTAGTTATCAATTAGTTATCGACACTGCTTTTATTTCGATTAGGAAAAGTTAATTTTAAAATATCGAAGAAAATGCGGGACAAAGGCAGGACACTTGGAAAAAATCAGTACATTTTGGGGGTTTTCTGTTTTGAAAAACTACGCAGGACAGACCTTTAAATAACAGTACGGTCCTGCAAAAAACAGAACGGATGGTCACCGTAACTATACACCATAGAAAAGAGCAGTCTCTCCGAAAGTCTAACTCATATAAACCCAAGAGCGAGTATAATCTGTGAACTAATACTAAGGAGACTATTTTATAAAAACAAGGTCTGAGTATAAACAAACTAGCTTCAAAAATTTCACACATAAAAGTGCCAGCAAATAAGAAACTATTTTAAATTTAAATACCCCAAGCAATACAAAGTATTAAAGTCTACTATAAAAAGAATTGCCATCTTACCAAAAACAAAAGTACACCCAATAAAATTCCATAAAAATGCCACCCACAATACTTGACTGCGTCAAAAGGCTATTTAAGTACACAATTTACAACCGTGCAGCGATCGCATTGCAGCTCGACATGCTGCCGATTGACTAGCAGCGTCTAATTTCTTACTGCATACAGCTGCTTTTGCCACAAGTGCAGCTATGCTACTTACTCTTAGTTTATTGTAAATTTCCTTCATAAAATTTCTTTCATTTTCTTGCACCCACATACGCCAACGCAATCAGTAAAATCGATTTGACAGCCTCCAATGCCAACGCTGTTAGACTCGAAATAGAAAATCTCAAATTTTAATACCTGGTATTTGTAATCCGAAATGTAATTTCTTCACCATATAATCGAAAATCAAATCAAAAACTTAAGCCAAAAGCTAATCGGCTTTGCGCTGTTGCATGAATGTATGCGCGCATGGTGTGCAATGTTGCAATCACAGTGTCGATTGACAGCTGCCATAAATCGATCGTCACCTTGGAGACGCGCGCGCTCGCGCTCCTTCATAAATTGTTCCGTCTAAGGTGTGATCAGCTAAGCTGTTGAGGGAATGAGGTTTTGGTGAAAGAAAAAAAAAAGACAAAGTGATTATGCGCTTAAGATGCGGAAAATGCGCATGGCTTAGCTGCCGTCCATAGGCTCAGAATTTTCAAAAGGAAATCAGGATGGAATATGATATTGAATTAAATCGCTAGGACTGGGAGATGAACAAGTAATTAAAACTTACAGCAGAAAAAAGCGTTGAAAATGGATTTCTGCTAGCAATCTGGAGATTCCTTGCTACCTTCGGTCTATTTACCAAACTACTTACCGACCAGGGTACGTCAAATTTTACCACGGAAGTACACCTATAAACTGTCATTGAGACGACTTTTTCCTTTCATTGTTCATTAAAATGTATTCCCTTCGATCCTTTTGGCTTAGCTTTAAGAAATTCTTGGCCTTTTCTGTCTGCTCGTCAAAGTGCTTATTTCTCCAAGTAGACTCATATATGTATCTAGGCGTTGAACGTAAACAGGCTCTGAGATAAAATTGCGACATCTTGGAAATCAAGTTTTTCTTAGAGGTTTCACTAGGATTGCTTCGTGGGATACTAATTCTTACTCATCTCAAAAGACCTTGACATTCTTTAGGAAGCTGTAATATACTCTAGAGCTTATGTAGCTTTGATCAGAAAAGGATAATTGTTCTACCACCTTCATGCAATCAGAGATCTGTATATTGCTGCCAGTCTCGGACCCTTGTAAGTGAGGGTATCACCCCTGTTTGCTACACTTACAGCGCAGCCTAAAATTTATGTGTTTGCTGGCTTCTTTTTTCTAGAGTGAGGCTTAACACAGACTAGTTTTTTTTCAAAAACGAGTATTATTTTATTTAATTGTGTCCATATTCAAAAATATAAATGCATAAATAAATTACTTATAAAATATCTAAAATAATTCGCCCATATTTCTTATAGGTGCGCTTAATAAGCTCGCTTTTATTCTCTCTATTATTTCATTCAAGAAGCACAAAATTCAAAATTCATTATAAAGCGAAAAACTATAAATTATCCATACTAGGGTGCTCCTTAAATTATCAACATCTAAATTTTGTATCAGGCACCCCCTTATTTTGTTCTACGTACATACAAAAAGACATTTAAGAAAATTTTAAATTTTCACAAATATTTTTAGGGGTCGCTATCATGGTTAAAAAAATTTTAACTTTTTTAAATCTCAAAAATAGGTTGACGAAAAATTTTATAAATTTGACATATTATTGAATTTTATTCATGTAAATTTATAAACTCCCAGAGTAAAATGTTCGTGTAATTTTTGCGATTTAAAAAAATTAAATTTTTTCAAAAAGTGTGATATTTTCGTCCATGTCTTCATTTTGTACGTAAAAGAAAATTAGGCGATGCCCCATGATTTCAAAACTTTTAAGGTCCACCCCAATCCATACCCTTATTAGTTCTCCTTTTCGTATTTATTTTTCCCGATTCCGATCCCGATCCTTCTTAGTCCCACTGACTCTTAATTACCTACTATATTTCATTACCTACTTTCGAAGGCTGACACCTTAGCAAATCCTTTGTTTTCTCTACCTTTTTTCAAAATTCTTTGAGACATGATTTTTTTCTGTTTAAACTTATGATCTCAAATGTTTCTAACTCATGTCTCTCACGCTTTGATTAGCTCCGCTTTTTCTTAACTGAACTCATACCACTTCAGCAACTCTACTACATATTACAGTTTTATACTTTCAACTAACAACCTAAAAACGTTTTTCTTCAAAGTTTTGCTCATTTTCTCATATTCCAGAACTTTCTACAGCGTTACAATTTTTGTTTGCTACAGAAGCAGCAGTGCTAGTGACGTCTGCTCCGCTTTGATTACTACCTACCGTGCTACTAGTCTGTGCTCCTACACTTTCAGTACTACTACTGCCTTCACCCGCGCCCGCGCCAGCACCCCCACCTCCCGCTGTTGCCTGACATTTACAAGCATCACGTGTGCGCTGCTCAATCCAATCCAAGTACTGCGTGACACGCGTATAGACGCCGGGTGCATTCGGACGTGCACAACCCTCACCCCAAGATACAATGCCAGCCAGCTGATAAGTCTTCGTTTCATTGTGGCTTACATGTAGTGGCCCACCGCTATCACCCTGGCAAGAGTCTTTGCCGCCCTCAGTGTAGCCAGCGCAAAGCATGTTATCCGTAATACGATCGGCGCCATATTTGCTCTTGCGGCAGGTCTCCTGCGACATGACGGGCACTTGCACTTCCTGAAAGATACGAAAATTAGGTCTGGTCAGCTGTTTCACCCAATCGTCAGCTCACCTGCAAGCGATCCGCGATGAAGCCACCCTCCTTCACGGCACCCCAGCCAGTGACTACAGCCATTTCGCCCTCGTATGTCTTGCCAGCCTCAGCGAGACAAACTGGGCGCAGTGGCTCGCGCAACATAAGTGGTTCGGTGAAACGCAATAGTGCGATGTCATTATCCAAATTCCTGCCACTATAACCAGCGTGCACTATAATCGAATCCAGCTGGCGATCAATTGTGTTCACACGCCCATCGGTGCGGTTGTGTGAGAGTAGACGCACGGAGACGATGCGCCTATTAAAGCCCCGTACACAATGCGCTGCGGTCAGCACATATTGATCGTTGATCAGCGTACCGC